CTAAACTGTTCAATGACGAACCGCCCAATTTCAACCCAGTCAAGTGACGACAACATTCTGGCCGTGGAAGGCGACACGGCAGTCACAACTGCATCCCAAATATTTCTGAAGAAGTTCGGCACAGCTTCGAAGAAGTTGGTTGTGATAGCTTGTCTCATGGTTTGAACTTCTCCCCAAACCCGGTCAATGAATCCGTGTTCAGTTTTCTCGTATGTAACTGATTGAGTTTTCTTCTTGCCCGGCGATTGAATTGCATTGTAGAACTGGGGACCGCCTGTCTGAACTGCTCTCAAGGGCACCATGCCATGTACCATGCCCGGGTGTCTGCCACCCGGAACTGCAGCGACGTAATTGAAATTGTGCCCTGGCATTTGCATTGGCTGTGAAACTACAGAGTAAGGACGAGCTTGCTGCATAGAAAGTTGCTGGTATTCAATAGGGGAGATTTCTTCAACGATTTGGCCACGGGAAGGATCAGCAACGAAGCGTGCAGTGGCTGGCTCAGTATTTGGAACAGGAACTGATGAGTAGCTGGAGTCTTTAGGATAGTAGGTGGGTTTGGCATCTTTCACTCCCGGAATAGGTTTCTTCTCGATGACTTTCGGCTTCTGATCGTCCAATGAAATCTGCTCAGTCTGTTGAGGCTTGTACGCCGATACTGAGACGGTAAGGTGAGGTTGCTGCTGAGGTTGGGATCCGTAGACAGGATTCAGCCCAACTTGATGCTGTGCAACAGGAGTTACATGTTTGATGCGATATGCCTGGGTTGCCACTGGTGTTCGTGCTTCGGCGTTGTAAGTAGGTGAATAGGTGGGCTGAGGTTGTGCTTCAGCTTCTCTTGTTTCTTGTGCAACTGCAGAAGATCGAGCCTGAGCTACCTGAGCATCTTGTGCTGTGATGGGCTGGAATGATGCCAGATCGTGATGCTGGGGGCCAATGTTGGCGGCAAAACTTGTGCCAATTAATCCGACAAATAGGGATATAGCAGCGAAATTCTTCATTATTCTGTTTTTAAAAAATGATTCCGGATTACAATGCTTCACAAATTTAACACGTATGTTTACTTTTCAGTGGATGGTGGCAAGATTATTTGGAGTTGAGAACTGTCGATTTAACATTCACATGACGTAGTTTTAGGCACGGCTCCAAGTGAGAAATATTTTCAAGCCGAACAGTGGAACACTTCACAACCACCTCGGTCAAGATCGGAGAGAGCAATGCTTTCTGATGCTGATACGCCGGTGGAGTGAGAAGCGGAGCCTGGCACTCAGCCAGAACCGTCCGTCCGCAGCCGACCTACTAACACGGACCAGCGGCGGCCGCAGCAACTGCCTGCTGGCCATATGAAACCGTTCGCTGATACGAGACAACCGTGTCACCGAACTAAGCTTCTTCATGCGCATCCGTTTGATCACTTGATATTAAACTCCATTAAACTCGCCTTTCGTGAATAAACAAACCATCATTGACCAAATATGACTGTGATACTGTGATTATGTAGAGTTGTATACGTCATTTCAAAAAAAAAGTAACCCAATTTGCATGTGTATTTTTAAATAGGCGAAATTCGTAAAGAAAGACCTCATCATAAGATCTGAATAGAAACACGCACTGAGACCTGATCGAGTAGGGGGTCCGGGCTGAGCTCGAGGACGTGATCTGCAGAAGAGAGCGACGACGTATAAATTATGACAAGACAGACGTGCTCGCACTCACTTTCACAACCGCTGAGCGAGTTTTGTGAAAAGCCATTCGAAAAACTACCTTTTTCAAGAACATTATTTTACGATCTAATTTTTACCCCTTAGATTTACACTTAGCTTTGGGAGAAGTACGTGATAGCAGCCTGGCAGTCACACAGTGCTTGTTACAAGCTATTTTCCCTGTTATTCATTGGATTTTCATTGAAGGAAGCGTTAAAAAATGGTCAGTGAAAAGGAAAACTTCCGAAACCTGTAACAGATGAGTGATCTCGAGCGGAAAAGTTAGATCCAGCACCGCGTGTGCATGGCGCATCCTAATGTGATGAGAGCCAATTTATGTTATGTTTTTCATAATTATATCTAACGATCTCAGATACTACTGTTGCGGACGTAATTCTTTATGGCCGTGTCCGAGCAAAATATTGCCTGTTATCTCATCCACAGTGAATAGTTTAATTACTTGAGCTGAGGAAATTTTTGACTTTGAAATTGGTTAATATTTGAAACTGTAATTGGTTACATGGCATACATGCCAGGTAATTGAGTGAATCATGTCAGGAAATTACGTGAAGTGAAAGGAAGCTAAAATGTTTTGACTTGATCGTTCCGTAATTCTATCTCCCTGAAGAGGTCAGCGGTGGCGCCTGAGCTGTGAGAGGAAAGTCGGGGCGCTGGGTTTATGGAGTGCCCATTTAATTAATATGAAACTTGCTCCTACAGATCAACTCATTCGAAAGTTGGCAAGAGGATTTCTTTGCTCATTTTTTAGGCTAGGTCTTTCGCAAGAATTAATGTGTTTACAGAGGAATTGTGAGGAAACCCCCACCTCTATACGAAATGTTTCGTATAGAGGTGGGGGTTTCGATCAGTTCATGAAACTGGTGATGAACTCTGTGATTTTAATGACCACTGTAAACGAAAACATCTGCCTCTGAGATATGCAATGTTAATACTGCAAAATAAGATGAGTTTTCGTTTGATTAATTGAAAAAAGCGATATGAGCAGTAAACGATAATCGTGCATCATATTTGTACTCTATAGTGAATTGTCGAGTCACTTACACTCGCAAAACGTCATATATATATATTGTGAAGATGTATCTATATATTAAATTTCTTTTGCTCTCCTTAATTGGATCCCTTGAAAACTTATAAGCTGTATGTGTTTCGTTTCATTTATTGAAAAGTAGCATTAACATAAATATTACCATTCATTATTCACAATTTATTCTAACAGAATGTGACACTCAATATGATATTTGCTGTTTAAAATGACTAGTTATAGATTACTCAATAATTCTGAGCTGAACGTGATATAATTAAATTAAATTAAATTGACCTAGGTTTTTGACACCATATTCGATGTAAAATTATATATTAGCTCCTTCAAATTGCAATTTTTGATACATTAATTTTGTTGCGATTTTTAATTCCTAAATAAACGAATTTGTGCACTGTCTGCATGAATTTGTCTGCATCAGGAAGATGGCAGTGATATACATGCACGTAATTCCTGATGAAGATCCGGTCTCCATGTGCAAGGCTTACAATAAACATGCAGTCCCGTATTATGCACACAAGTGGATGCAGTTTTATGTACACGTGTGGCTGCTGTTTTGCATTACAAGAGGATGCGTCTTTACATTACATGTGGCTGCTGTTATACATTACAAATGACTGCTGTTTTGCTTTACATGTGGCTGCTTCTGTACATTACAAGTGGCTGCTTCATTACATTTTATGTGACTGCTGTTTTGCTTTACAAGTAACTGCTGTTTTACATTACAAATGGCTGTTTTACATTACAAGAGGCTGCTGTTTTACATTACGACTGTCTTTTGTTTTTTGTTACAAGTGGCTGTTGTTGTACATATCAAGTCGCTGCTGTTTTACATTACAAGTGGCTGTTGCTTTGTTTATACAAGTGCTGTTGTTTTATACAAGCGATTGCTGTTGATGCCAATTTACGAAGCTTGAAGGGAAAGCAATCGAATATCCTTTCGCTCACAGCCCCTCCACCATTATCTCAGATTTCCTTCATTCACAATCCACGTCCAGCCCTGCCAAAGTTATTACAAGAGGTACACTTCATTAACTTAATGAATATTTTAGCACACGTTTTCCTGGAGCTGTCAGGCTTTCATTATTGAAGAAAAAGAAGTTGCTGAGGAAATTGTAGGTACCCATTAATGCCTGAAAATACGCGCAATATGAAAGTTTCTCAGCGAGTTCGTCAGGGATCTAGTATACGGTCATTACCACGGACTCCATGATACTAAAACTTGCTCGTATTCCAGCTTTCTATTTTCGTTGATTCACGGCATCCTGTTCGATCTGACATCGGTAAATGTGTATGTAAAATTAAAACATCCGTAAAGTACATGAGGAAAATCTGCTGGTAAAATCAGTAAATCAGCGAAATTCATCAGAAATGTTTTATTGATTCAAGAAAAATTTAAGTGACATTTTTTGTGATTCTTCACAATAATCACACTGATTTTAGATCGGGATTTTTTTCACATTTTTTACAATTACCAGACTTGAGCATTTATGGTCAATTTTAGAGATGCAAGTCAGAAATCGATTCCCGCCGCCTTTATCTTTAACAGAGCTGGAGGAAGTTTTAACTGAAGAATGGATAAGATTCATTTGGAAACGATTGACAGTTTGAATGAATCATTACCTCGGAGAATTGTGGCAGTAATTTCCGCTAAAGCCTCAATTCCCCTACACCATCATAAAATATATTTTTTGGATATCTCAAGTGTTTCCCTTAGCCCTGCATGGATATCTCTAAATGACTCTAAATAATGAATCCCAAGCTCATTGTGGTACGAAGATTAATAGATATGCATTAAAATGATAGGTTAAGCGATTCGAAATGTTACAGACATTTGTTTCTAATCCTAGTATATGCTAAGATGAGTTGAAAATTCAATATGAAAGCAAGAACAATATTCAATCGTCTTTCATTATTGCCCATTTATTTGTAGGGCAAGGCCGTCCGCTAAGTATTCCAAATTACTCCAAATTTCCAAGTCCCCATAGTTTAAGTATTCTCCGTTTCAATCCTACAAATGTATAACTGTACTAAACCGAAGATAAATGGAGTATTTTGATTCTCGTAAACTGCCGTCTGTCAGATATCTTAGGTCTCATTTATGAATAGACAATAACATTAATATGACTGGCAGTTTAACGAAGGTGTTGTAGTGTTGGAGCAATTTGTCCTGCTGGTAACCTTGGACAGCGTGCATGTGCTGTCTGCGGTCGCGGCATCTCAGTTGGCCTCCCACATGTTGGCACGTTTGGTGCGAGACGAGCTTCCTTGGTGCCTTGCACGATTATCTTCACCCCGCACATTATGTCAGTTCCTTAAGCCTTGAGCTTCAGTATACTCCCGTGCTTGAAGGAGCGAACATTCAGTGATGGCTTCTTCGCATCAAGTTTAAGTAAACCCGATAAACGGTGGAACCCGAAACCTTCTTATGATTTGCAGAATCTAGTTTGTTGAATATCTATTGACTTCGGCGTCACAAGCCCGAGGCGCGCATGCTTCACTGCCAATTTTAAGAATTTGTTTTGTGAATTGCTTCATTGACGAATAATCTTCTTTTGGTGAGAAGTGACACAAAAAACTGGTGAGTTGAATGCCCTAAAGATAAGGATCCCGGCTAGGAATCTGCCCAGCGACCGGTCTCTCGGGGCGGTAGCTGCGGTCAAATTTCTCTATGGAATGGGGAGCACTTCCGCAAAGCTCCAGGCAGAATTTAAGGGAAAGTTTCTCAGCTAATTTTCCTCTCTAAGAGGATGTAACTCTTATCGAAGTTTCTTAAAAAATTCAAAACATTAAATATCAAATTGTGCATCCTGGCCATTTAGAATTTGTAAATTAAAAATGCGCAATATAATATAGTAATTGACAATGCGTTGATTTATGATAACAATATATATATCCCTTCATCGTATTGGAAATAATTTAATTTTGAGAGAATTTGTCATTACGTTGATTTGAATAGAGTAGAAAAAATTTTCCCTCGCAATCGTTTCGTTTTTATTACTTGACTGACTGGAGGCAATCTAAGCCGTATACTACCTACGTCGAATTAACTTGTTACAAACAATATACACTTCTTCCAAACCTAAAGATATATGAAAAATTTTATGGATACGGTTGCGGCTACTGAAATCAAAATTGTGTTATATTTTCCCCCCAAATAAATAAATAAATAATTTTATTATCGAGATCTTTCTTATTTTTTTGATCAAAGTTCTTAAGTTCGAAAGTTCGCTCTAAACTCAAAAATTTGTACGAACGTTAATCATAATAGAGAAAAAAAATCATTTTTATTTGCATCAATGTACCGAGTTAGCTATGAGTTCGGCAAGCAATTATTCATTTACCCATAAAACAGATGACATTAAAATAAAATTTCAAATTAGATTTGGTGTATGAACGTGACTCGAATTTTGGCCTTGCGCTGGCGTGACATGTTAACAAAATTTATGACTTTCCGTCAAATCATATATGTGTGAGATAGATATTGTTTTTAACGCTTTTTTTCTAATGTAAATGATTATAAATTTAAATGACCGGTCAAGTTTGTATTGACTGTTCACATTTAACGTAGTTAAGTTGCTGTGTCTCTTTATCATACGAGTTTACACTAATCAGTAAAAATTGATTAATTACATTTAGTTGCTAGAATACTGAACTCAATTAGAAGCATGTAGACAGTCATACCTTTGAAAACGTAGAAAATTTTAATTTATGAGAATAATTGGTGCCGTTAACATTTATAATGAAATTCATAAAATATGTTAATCAGCGTTAAAATGTATCATATAGCAGGCATATTTCATCAAATTATTTGTTGTAATACCACAATTGTTCAGCCGATAAGTTAAAAATGGTCATGAAATTATTTTTATCCTATGTTCTTGAAAATATTTGTACCTGAAAATAGGAACAAATATGGATAAATTTAGATGTGTGACTAATATGACAATCTGTATCGTATTATTCTCATTCACACAAAAATTTAGCAGTGCGATGGCATATGCAAGTCGCTATTTTACAGTTATTAACAAGAATAGCCCGAAAAAAGTGCAATGATTATTTCTTGCTCAGACAAATAATTACTCATTTGACAGTCATGAGCCCTGATCCTTGCTTCTGAGAATCACTGGTACTGCTGATCCCTGCTTCTGAGAATCACTGGTACTGCTGATCCCTGCTTCTGAGAATCACTGGTACTGCTGATCCCTGCTTCTGAGAATCTACTACTGGTAGAATCACCCTGATCCCGAAAAAATGCAATGATTATTTCTTGCTCAGACAAATAATTACTCATTTGATAGCCATGAGCCCTGAGCACTGCTTCTGAGAAGCACAGGTAGGCAGCTTTGCAGGCAATGACTTGTATCTTTTCCAGGAGCTATGGCCTGCCCCGAGAGCGTCTACATTCCTGTCCTCTTACTGTTGTGTGTGACGACGGCAGCCCACGGCGCCAAGTTACCGAAGGTATTTATGATAACTTAGACGGTATTTATGATAACTTAGACGGTATTTATGATAACTTAGACGGTATTTATGATAACTTAGACGGTATTTATGATAACGTAGTAACATCGCACGCCCACTTTGAAATCATGAACAAAATGCTATATAGTTAATTATTAATAGCGCTTTATTCGTGCCAAGAAATCTTGTAAGTCGATCATACAGAAGCGAAATTAATCAGAGATGGTTTTATGCATGAAGTGTAAAATTACTCCAGTCATTAGTCTTCGTCTTTTACCAGTAATATGATGGATTCAAAATTTCAGGCGCTGTCAAGGGAAAGTTTTTAGTCCGTTTTAATTTTTTCAGGACTAAAAAAGTTTTAAATCATATCGCATTTTTTATAAACATGTGAATTCAATAGGCCAATTAATAAGTGCCAATTTAATTCAAATTTTCTCCTAAATAATATCTGAACAGCGCTACAGTGAGTTCCTGATTTATCTTTCGATTAGCAGTGTTGTATAATGCATAAAAATTACGGACTGCGCTCTGTCACTGGGAAATTGTGTGCTCATATAATCTTTTTATTGTAATTTCATAAAATTAATCTAAATTGTAAATTAACTTATTTGCTCTGCTCTAGTAGGCGCTTCTCGCTGAGAGTTTATTGTGTTCAATATCGACTGGATATCGCGAACGATAGGAGATTCATTACCCAGGATAATGGGTAATGGCATAATTCTCTAATGGCATAACATCATAGACGGCGGCAAATATACCCTCCAAAAGATCCTTTAGATCTGCCCTTCAAAAATTTATAAACTAATTTACCGATATCTATGAAACTTCATTTAAATATCTAAAACACTGATACAAGAATATTTTCTTCGTGCGAATTTTATTAGAAAACGAAAGAGAAGTAAACTGTAAAGAAAACGGTGAAAAAGAGGGACTTTCAAAAAATCTATCCTCTTGTCATTGTTGAGAGATACAACCCGAGACTCGAGAGGACATATCATTCAATTCGTAAAACAAAAGTCTACAACGACTCTAGTAGCCACTTTTTTATTTATCTATTGTTTGAACTACATATTATAAAAACTAAGTGAAATTGGGGTTGGGGAGTAAAATGGAAGAAGTTATCTAAAAAAAATAAAAGCGTTATTCAATTCGTAAATCAAAAATCCATAGACCCTAGAAGCCCTTTTTTCTGATTCATTTATTGCTTGAATTACATATTATAAAAGCTAAGGGAAATTGGGGCGTGGGAGGGGAATAAAAAATAGGGACATAAAAATAAAAGCGAAATCAGAAAAAAAAGTTTTCTGAGTCGTTAGATATTTGTTTTACGAATTGAATGATATGTCTCTTAATGTTGTAGCTTGAAAACGAAAAAAGAGATTTTTTCTTATTTCATCTTATTTCTATCATTATCATTCATAAGCCTGTGTAAACTGGAAATATCACTTGGTCAGGAGAGCCAAATAAGTAAAACAGTTCTAAGAAGAAATGAAGGGTCAAAAAATTGCTCGGAACTGAATTTTAAGCTTTCTCATCACCTATTTTCAGTTTTGAGGGTAACGTCAAGCACGGCATGCATTATTGTTGTCCAGTTTTACACGCACAATAATCTACAAATGAAAATTTTCACCGAGAGATCTTTGTACCAATGGTTATACAATGTTCATTTCGTACTGTTGCGGGAAAGCTTGCAAAAAATGGGTACAAAAGTAGGTACTGAGTAGCAGCCTATCATAACTCAGCTTTCCCGGGTTAGGATTTGCCACTTTCCATGGGAGTGAAATAAAGAGATGTGAGGCACGTGTATTAATTAAAACGCAACATGAATAAATTCATCATTACAGTAATAAGCACAATAGAAACTTAAATGACCCATGACCCGAAATGAAGCCACAACTAATATTGACGCTGTGGAAGCTGTTGAACGTTGGGGCAGATGCCGATGAAAGTCCCAAAGTCAAAGGTCTACGACAGCCACTATATAAGATCCACTATCCGTCACTAATCGTTATGTCCCACCCACCTGGTGGACACGATTGCACCTAATATAATACCAAGGCAAGCCTAAATGAATAATAATAAAAAAAATCAACAGTCGATAACGCATAATTTTGGCAGACATTGGCGCAGTTATTCTGATCAATCTAATGAATCGTGAAATAATGGTCGCTAGATAAGCTACAAATTTAAAAAGATCCTCAAGTACACATTAGCCATTCGCAAATAATATCGACAATATCATTCATTATTAAAAATTCTCTTACCGCAGCCGCCATGAATAAATGCACAATTAGGTTTTGAGATACAGAATAACTGATTTTCAAATTAAAATAACTGCCTGAAGGGACAATTAATTCTCGCTGAAAAGTTCATGAAGGTCAAGCAGGTCGTGCTTAGATAATAAATAAGAGATATCAATATACTCTGACGTCTATATCACGCTGCTTGGCATAGGTTCCCGCTGTTGTCAACGTACGCGAGGCGCCAAACCCCAAAGCCTGGGAGAAAATTCCCGGGCTACTGAAACACAAGTTTAAGAACTGCCTTACGCACAAAATAATGCACGTAATTACACAGGGTTTGCTGCTACACACGGTTTGCTTTTCAGCAGATTAAAAGGTAAATTTTTTCGATTTTTTTTTAGGGTAGACACTTCCCAATACATTTCTCCCATGGTCTATAATTAGACGAAAAAAATTTGTTTTAATGTCACTCACAATACGCCTGCATCATCAAAGCGTCTTCGATATGTATAAATATTCAATTAAACTTATTTCACATGATTACTCAAATTTATGAACTGCATAATGTGATATTTCAAATTTGTGCATAGACGAGTCGAAGGCCCAACATTTGTTGCCACCAGTCGAACACATATACAAGGAGCCCACGTTGGAATTTCCCGAAGTATTAGGGAGCCCCGGAAGAACGTTGTAGCTTTTTGTAGCAGTTTTAAATTTAGCTTTTAATAATATTAAATTAAATAATAGATGATATTAATAATAATAATATTGGAATGATTGATGAGCTAATTTTGGTAGTTTGATTAAATTGTTTGTCTTTCTTTAATTCCAGTCAAGTTCCAGTACACCAGTTAATCATTTGAATTAAGGGAAGGTGGAGACATGTATCAGATTTAAATTCAGAAAAAGAAACTGCGCAGAAAAGAATTGGAATCAATGTGTTAGCGAGCAAGATAGCTCGTAGTCAATCGAACAATAGAAGTAAATTAATAATCTAGCGACACGCCTTTAGTTACTTGTATTGAAGTTTTTGTTGCTGTAATTTCAGGTTAGCTGCACTGCACATGACGGCAGCCCTGGAGTGTGCACGCTGCTGGTTCACTGCACGAAATTCTTCGCTGATTTGGCTAAGCTCTCTCGCTCCCCTTGCACCATCACCGCGCAGCAACAGGGCATCTGCTGCCCAAACTCCAAAACCATGCCCAAAGGTTTGCATTCTAGCCTTTTAATAAAACGCATTTATTTCATTCTGGCTCATTCAAACTCGAATTACTATTTCATTCATTTCAAGGTCAGCGTTTAATTATTACGGGACGTTTAAAAGATACAGTTATTTTGGATTAGAAAGTATTCATAGAAAGCTCATGATTAAAAATTGGCGTTAAGGTCTTAGGATTAATTCGTATGTGCACTTGGAAATATTAATGGAAGAAAAATAAAGTTAAACTTACGAATGTGTGAGGCTTATATGCAGCTTATGAACTAATTTGAGATTAATGATTATTTGATTATCAATCTATTGGAGTCTTCAAATCTAGCGTACGTCGCTGGTTTTGTAGTTGATAGTTGATTGAAGGATGAATATTAAAACGTCTAAAATGTTCAAAGTATTGAGCAAAGTTGATTCAAATTGTTTGAGCTATCTTATAAATGACGCTTGTATGAAATTTTGATCAAATTCATTTCAGATGGATGACATGTTATCTCCACTGATATAACAGAACATGAGAAAATAATTCATTGCATAAAGGTCAATAAATCATAGTAGTTTCATCTGAATTAGAAGTAAAAAGATGTATGAGATGTAAAAACCACATGCCATGTCAAGAATCTTTCAAAAATCTTTCAGTCAAAAATCTTTCATAAATCGTAAATGAAAAATAATAGTTCTATTGCCTCGTATATTCTGCGCTGACAAGCTGACAACATTTCCAATAAAAACCCTGGGTGTTCAGGAATTTAATGACACAAAAAAATCGTGGTCTGTAAATTTGAACTCTTTCAGACCCGAACACTCTGGTCATACCGCAGAAGCCCGCGCCTGTCACCGACCCTCGCATCAGCACTGAGGAGTTGAACAGAAGCTGTCAGAAGAGCCTCCGGAAGCAACAAGAGCGAGAAAACTTTGAGAAAACTCTTGTAAGTTTGCTTTGATTTTTGTCGTAATTTTGTCTGGACTTCATGTATGTCAGCAAAATTTATTTCATGCAAAAAATTCATTTTAATTTTGGGAGATCAAGCTAGTTATGAAATTGAGCCTTCCCATTCCTGTTCAACTTTTATTATTCAAAATCAGAACAAACTGACAATCCTGACATTATCCACCTCATTTTCGTATCAATTACATATGTTACGCTATTTAGCATAAGAATTTAAAAGCAAAGAAAAGTCCAGAAAAATTCATATCTTTATAGAAAACTTTTCGGAGACCAGCTCCATCGTCAGTTCGTAGAATCTAGAATCACAAATCAGAAGTCACAAATTAATACATTGAAATGAAAGCACAGAACGAAATTAAAAACCTAAATTTACAAGTAATAGACGGAGCAAAAAAAAGAACTATCTATTAACAATTTCAAGGGGATAGGAGCTAGCAGCTGAATTCAAACTGGGCCTAAGTTTAAAGATGTACAGTGATTTTAAAATGCGCAAATCGGAAGTCCCGGAGGTGGAAGCTAACATCCTAAAGTCACTGTCAGAAATAGGGACATCACACTGCTCGGCGTGAGCGCGCACAGCCGAATGAGGTGGGCGCGATAGCAACTGTCCGGTTCTACAACTCCTGCCCTCATGCTCAGAGACCCTGGAATAAAGATTGCGTGACGTCATCCCGACGTACGCAGATGCACATCGTGCACAACAATATTGATAAACCAGAGATGATCGCATATGAACAGGGAGCATATCTTTATATCTAAAGAAAGAACCGATTGTAAAATTGTTTACCAGCACAATATGAAGATTGACATTTGGGAAGTATCTATTGAACAAGACTTTTAATTCTCTTGACATAGCTTCGGACGCAGGGCCGAACGAAGTATGGAAAAGAACAATAAATAACTTTCCTACTATCGCGCTCAGGAGCAACCTCACTGTATCGCTTCGACATGAATTTCTTGATTTGGTTATTATTTAACATTTAAACATTTAACATTTGAAATTTAATTTAACATTTGAACTATTTAACATTTGAAATATAACAGTGAATCAACAAAAATTATTGCCTGACAAAATTATTAATAACACCCAGATGATAGGTACAGACTGAGCATTAATAAACTACTTTATGCAAGGGAATATAAAATGAATATTAAAAAAAATTAAATAGCATTTTGGAAATAAATACTTTAATATCACGCTCTTTTGACTAACATCAGGTGGAGAACAACATCATTGCGACGCCAGGCTCCCCAGTATACCTGCACGCTCGCCTCTTCGAGACGACCAGCGCTGTCGTCAACAGGGGCAAAGGAGGTTCGCTAGTGCTTGATGCTGGCGCCACCGTAGCTAAAGAGTAAGTCCATATATTGGTGTCTAAATCCCGCAGTATTTAAAATAAACTTTGAATGACACCGTAAGTCCATATATTGTTTTCTAATTCCCGCAGTATTTAATATAAATAAACTTTGAATGAGACCGTAAGTCCATATATTTTTCTCTAATTCCCGCAGTATTTAATATAAATAAACTTTGAATGAGAACGTAAGTCCATATATTTTTCTCTAATTCCCGCAGTATTTAGTTTAAACTTTGAATGAGACGCCGTGGAATATTTCTATAAGTATTCCCTAAAGATGCATGACACAACAAAAATTTCGTTAATCTGCATCAACTGTGCAAGGAACGCACTTCAATCATACTACTTTGTAGTATATGTATTAAATATATGAACGTAATTAAATAAATATCATAATGCCATTTTGTTCTTTTTCAATCCTGTCGTGACGAATTATTATTTGAATCTAAATGTTTTAAAATATGAAAAATCCCTTAATTGAAATCTACATGAAAAATCAACCCCGGAAATCTATATGTTTTAAAATATGAAAAATTCTTTAATTGATTCGTAATTAGCTACAACTTAAATATAATTTGTATAATTAACATAAATAAAAAATGCATACTAAATCTGAAGTAAAATGAAAGCAATTCTTACATCGCAGCCTCCAGCTACCTGAAGCGGAAGCCAGTCAGGCGCTGTCGAACTACAGCGCCACGGAGACCATCATACGTGACGTGTGTCCGGCCGTTCCTCTGTGCGACGCCTCCTCCAGGTACCGCACGGCCGACGGCTCCTGCAACAACCTCGCGCATCCAGACTGGGGCCAGGCAGCCACCCCTTTCTTCAGGCTCCTACCTCCTGTCTACTCTGATGGTAAGCATTGCACACTTCCATTCTAAAAGGATAAAAGATTTACATGATATAAAGTATTCATGCTTTTTGATGCGCTTTTGCATTTATATCAATTATGTTATTAGGTATTTCTTGTTCTATTGTGATGAATTGTGGCTGTTTATTTGCCTCAATTTCATAGAATCACCACAACTTGACTCCATTACTCGGCAGGATTCAACAGTTTTAGAACGTCAAGCGATGGAACTCCGTTACCGTCACCTCGGAGTCTCTCAGTGGCCACAATCGTGCATCGCGACGACGTCTACGAAGACTTCACACTCTACATCATGCAGTGGGGGCAGTTCCTGGACCACGACCTAACTCACACACCAATTTCGAAAGGTTCTTCTGAACATTACGGCTGCTTGTGACCTATAAATGTTACGTTTACGTTCCAGATTATTGTATATTCTAACTCTAAATGCTTTGATAATACATGAGGTTGTCCACACACGTCATTTGTTGATGTTGGTGATTAGGTAGAATTATCAGGGTAATAACCGTACCCTGAATACATTATTGTATAATATTAGACCTATTATCATGGTTTGCATTTGATCCTTCAGGTGCGGATAAAAGTGACATTACGTGCTGCAAAGAAGGTAGCATTCGTCCTCCCCACGAGCTGCACCCTGAGTGCCAGCCCATTATAATCCCCGCTACTGATCCCTTCTACGGCCCCTTTGGTCAACGCTGCATGGAGTTCGTTCGCTCAATGCCAGCGATCCGCAAAGACTGTAAATTTGGACCGAGAGAACAGATGAACCAAATTACGGCTTATCTCGATGCCAGGTGAAAGGTCTCCACAGGTGCAATAAGTAGACTACGTACCTACTGCCAAATGAATTTAAATGCTTATTCAAGCTCGCGTATTGCAACCTGAATCTTCAATGAATAAGTTTCTTACGATAATATGAAATGCCATCGATCGTCTCGGGGGTGAGGAACCGAAGATTTGCTACTATGATATGACTGGTCTGAGATCATCTATATATCAACACCAATAATTGAATTTACTTTCATCAACGCTGGTGACAAATTTATTTGTAATGAAACCAAATTTAATCAAATTTAATATGGTAATGTTCCTGCTCCAGCAACGTATACGGATCTTCAGTTGAGGAGATGAGTAACTTGCGCGAGTTCAAAGGGGGTCGCTTGAAAGCAACAGTCAGAGGCAGTCGTCACATGCTGCCCCCCAACGTTCACGACCCTCAGTGTGACAGTCCGGCTCCAGACCGGCCTTGTTTTGGCGCTGGTGGGTCAATTTAAATTCGAGGCAAAACAATTTAAATCTTAGTTTCTAACGGCAGTCATCATATTGGTGATATGAAACAGCCCCCAGAAAGATTTGGTTTTTAAATTACTTGAATATCGGTACATCGGTGCATATTTTTATTTTAAAAAGCTCCTGAAAACACAAATTCAGTGGAAAAAATGGAAGCATTCTAAAACCGGCTACAAAATCTTATAAAATTAGCTGCACAAAATTAATGTAAATATAATTAGCAACAATAAAATTAGCTACACATCAGCTTTTTTTTTCTTCCCCAGGTGACTCACGAGTAAACGAGCAGCCGAACCTGACCGCGATGCACACGGTGTGGATGAGGCAGCACAACCTCGTGGCACAGACCCTGGCTACGCTCAACCCCACCTGGAGCGACGAGATCATATTTCAGGAGGCCAGGCGCATTGTTGCGGCCCAGATGCAACACATCACCTACAATGAATATCTTCCGATCGTGCTCGGTTAGAGGCATATTAAACAGTGCGCAGTTGCACGTGTCATTAATTTATGCATAATCTACCTATTCTTGCCATTGATTTTTGCAGAATCTATCTGTTCTGGTCATTCATTTAGGCACTATCTACCTATTTCGGCCATCGATTTTTGAAGTATCTACCTGTTCTGGCCAATGATTTTTGCAGAGTCTAAACATTCTGGTTATTAATTTTTGCAGCATCTACCTATTCTGGTCTGCGGATTGGCGTATCAATCATCATCTATAATGTTTGAAAATCATCTACAATTTATATTGTGTGCCTATTTTATTTATGGCAGTTCATCGTTATTTAAATTAATTGCTAACTGTGCGCAACATTGTACAGAATAAGATGAATTTACAGGACCATCAACGTTGCGTATACATCGAACAGTGGACATCTGTTATAGTAACAATAACATTGAAACTGTCAAGGCGTTAAACTAAGTGAAACCTCATCATCAGCTGTTGAAGGGACCATAAACACTGAAATAATTTAGGTGTTCTCCAACCCACTTTAACAACTGTTAGAGTAACGGGAACACTGGGATTGATTGCGTATTTACAAGAAAAAACTTAATTCTGCAGCTGTTAAAATGAGGAGAACACTCGAATCCCTATAAGGTGTTAAATGAGTACAAAAAGCCCTTCTCTGCGATTTAAGGACGTCATTTCGTGGAGACGTTTGGTCTGGTGCCGGAAAAAGAGGGATATTCGAATTCCTACGATCCCTCGGAGGAGGCCACCATCAGCAACGCATTTGCGGCCGCAGCTTTCCGTTACGGCCACACGCTCATCGACAGCAATATTCAGTTAGTCATGATAATAATTTTTACAGGTAGAAATTCACTTTAAATTTATGAACTGAAGATACTTCTCAAAACTTCCCCTCTAATAGTATAATAAAATCATAAGATTCCAACAGGGTTTACTTGAAAGGTTGGTGTGTTTGTCAAGTTTTCTAAGTAGTTAATGTAGGACGTTACAATGAAATAGACGAGACTGAAAACTTACGCTGCATATGATGCTGCTTCTGTTAGAACTTTACCACGGAAATTGAACTCCATGGCGCAGAGAACTTTAAGTAGTGAACCGCAAGATTTATAGTTGTGATAAATCAGTGGCATTTAAATCCGTGGGATATGATAAAATAAGTATTAATTATTGCCTAGAAAATTACGAGAACAACCATCATGACAACCAATAGGTGTGGAAAATCAAATATTACTCGACTGGTTTGCGTTTTGCATGCAAGTACGTAAAAAGGTATACTTCGAGTTTAGTTTATACCAGGCGATGGTTGAACACTGCAACTTCTTGGTACTTGTTTAATTATTTTTAACCATAGTTTCCTTCCTTATGAAATTGTCTTCTGATTAAACTGATCAGATTGTCTCAATTCAAATTTTTCGCTCATTTCAAAATTTTTATACATTTTAAAATTTTAGCTCAGCGTTTCGTATGTAGTATAATGGAACGCAAATTTATCGTAGTTTCATGGAGAATTTGTCATTGGAACCCTTTTGGCAGCATCTAACCATTCGCAACACTCTGCTTGACAATACTACCAACAAAATTGAGAAATTTTTGTTCAAGAGACACTTTCCTGAAACATGTTTTAAATATTTAACAGAGGATACTCAAGATTTGGCACAAAGGAGCTCGGCATGAAGCTGAGCAGCGTTCAGTTTTCGCCGTTCTTCCTATATGACGAGGGCGCTCACGATGCTCTCATCCGAGGGCTGGCTATCATGCCCAGCCAGAAATTCGACAACTTCTTCAGCGAGGAGGTAAGATAATAGTTAATTGAATTTGAATTTCTCAAAATTTTGAATAGAAAATTTATCGTCATAATTTGCATTTTTCTGTTTCTATGTAAAATATTCAACAGAAATCCTCTGAGCGGTCATTCACCGATACTAATGAATACTCAGAATTAAATAAAAGGAAAAAGGAATTGAATTTGACCAAAGGAATTGAATTAAATCAAAGAATTCTCAGAATCAGAATAATTGTACTCGATTCGACTGCCATAGTTGACGAACCACTTGTTCGCTCGCAACAACTCGTTCGGCATGGACCTCGTAGCGCTGAACCTGCAGCGCGGTCGCGACCACGGCCTCCCGCCCTACATCGAGTGGCGCAAGATCTGCCGCATGCCGCCCGTGACGTCATTCGAGCAACTCAACGATGTCATGCATCCCGAGGTGACGAACTTCATAATGATTGCTTAGTGCTAATTAAAAATTTAAGTAAAACTGAAATTAATAATACAAAATGTTGTGTGGTTTTATTCTCGGTAGTATACTTACAAGGAGAATTGATCAAACGCTTATGGTATTAGCAGTGCACTGGATGAATACTTGACATGTCAAAATCCTGTTCTCCAGGCGAGCCGATATCTTTCTTTGCTGTACAAGAACGTGGATGACATCGACCTCTTCATAGGAGGAATTCTTGAGTTCCCTGTGGCGAAGGCTCTATTGGGTCACACTTTCCTTTGCATCTTAGGCGATCAGTTCTACAGACTCAAGGTTTGGTGGTGAAGTCAATTTAGTGCATCAGATGATTTCACTATTTGATAAAATTGAAATGGAGTACCTTTTGGATCATCGAGCAAACTTGAAAAATAGTATCAAGTAGCACAAATTCGAAACTTTTTGCCACGTAAAATATCATCAATTTATTTTTTTGTTGAAGGCTGGTGATCGTTTTTACTACGAGAATGGCGGCCTTGAGTCGTCGTTCACGCCGGAGCAGCTGCAGGAGATCAGGAAGACGAGTCTGGCCAGGGTGCTGTGCGACGCCTCCGATGCTATGGGCGTCATGCAGCCTTTGGCCTTCCTGCACGCTAACTTCACGTAAAATTTTACGAATTATTCAATTATATTATTTTGATTTAATTATCTATATTTTACTTTGCTTGCATTGTTTTTAAAAATTTTTTATTGATTGCGTTGATTGATTGATTTTTTATTTTGACAATAATATTATTGATTTTCCCCGTTTTTATTGCTGTGTTGAGATATGTATATTCTCATATAATTTTTGTGTATATGATATACAATTATCTATTATTGTTTATGATGCATGAAACGATATGACTGATTGAGCCACCCGTGAATATCAACAATTCCATTAAACTGCGAGACTAAGTATTATTGAGGCATATTTATCAGTTTTTCAACAATATACACGGATTTCTGCTACAATATTAACTTCACGTGACGTTGTTCAATAATGACTGCTATTGGCACCCCGAATATTAACAATTTGTGAAGTTCAGGAGACAGAACAATTAAATAAAAATTTTATTTTTTCCATACCAGGAACAAGAGAGCCTCATGCAGCCATGACAAACTCATCCCGAAAATGGACTTCTCTCCGTGGCGCAGCCTACTTTTGTGATGTGTCTAAAGCTGTACACATATTTAAATATAAATAAGATCTCTTCACTCATTAAGGAGACAAGCTTTAAAGGATAAATCTTTCAGACCGTCAATATTATTTTTATTTGCTTGTAGTAATTTCATTGCTTCCATACATTAATATTATTCACGTCACAATGATGAATGATAATACATTATTGATATTGGTTACTTACATATAATTCTGTTGAAGTAGTAAAATTCTTTTAGGGTCGCCCACAATAATGGATTTTATGTTCGAAAAAATAAATTTAAACAATGGCACATATAATGAAATATTTTACCTATTTATTGGTCTCTCTACTGTTATTATTTAGAAAGCATTTTGGTTGGGTTGGATTTTATCTTTCAAATAAATGGTCTTGAGTGTTTAAAATATGCATTCAGATCATAGAAAACTTAACGGTAAAAAATTATATCATTCCTCATCGTAATTTTATTACCCTGGGTACGATATTTGATTTAATTAAGAGAACATGACCTAAAATACAAGGTTTTTGTAGAATTGACACTAGCGACCTCAGGTCGCTGTAGCAATCCACAACCACGGCCGGGGACAGTTTTAGACCGATGAAATATAATAGTGATATTAATGTAAGACTTAAAAAAATTATCTCAACTATTGGCCGATAAACTTACTAGTTATCTATTTATATTGATTTTACTGATTAATATATAGCCTAAAATATGTGTCGCTAGCAGAAAGGACTAATATGTCTTTTTTGCCGGATCAAACTGGGTCTAGATGACTCACATAATGACTTTTTGGGTCAAAGCGTCAAACATTTTCGTAAGCACAGGTTCTCACTGAGTTGGACCGAACGCGGGATATTCCCGCACCTCCATTACGTAGTTTTTTTCATCATCTATTGCATTGGTGCACGAGAAAAAAATGAATTTCAATCTCGCTCCAGGTTGTCTGGTCCCATTCAATTAGTAAATAGGAAAGCAAAATTTTCAATGACTCCTGGCATTCGACCTATATATGATCACATGGATAGCCCATTTAATATTATAAGAAAGGGTGAATAAAGCATAACAACCGAGGAAAATCCGTGAGGACAAGAATATAAACGTGTGTTCTTTTTAGCTTTTACCTCTGACGCCAACCGTGCAACATGATTGTCTGAACTTCGGACTCTGACCTCAGAGCATTCCTGAAAACTTAGAGAGACGCAAATTTAGAATCTGTGATTATCTGAAAACAGAATACATGACGAAAGCAAAATAAAAGTAAACAAGGAATAATAATGAAAAAACTTTTTTCAGAATCGCGAGTTAACATACTAATATTATCAACACAAAATTAACAGGACTTGAAACCACGTATGTCCATGATGACTAAAAAATCTGTGATGTAATAATAAATATACGAGAAATTAGAAGTTTCCTATAGCGATTGCTTACTACATTTTAAGGCAATTTGTTGAGATCAATTCAATTCACTCAAACAAAATGGCTTGAACAAATGACAAGTTTTTATTATTTCCTCAATTCAATGCCCAACAGTTGGCATTAAAAAATGGACTGAAGTTTTGCCAATGAGGACTGACAGGCGCCTAATAAATGATCGAGGAGGCAGACCAGGCGTTGCAAACACACCTCTGTAAAAATGCTGAACATTGTAGTGCATTGGGATTTTCCCATCTTGTCGAACCTACACATGCTTTTTCATTGCCAATTTAGATCCGGGAGAAAGATGAACTGTATTTAATTTAATTTTAAAATGAAATTCGATAATTTTTGGAGGATATTATTATAATATTGTGTAAGATTAAGAGTACAGTTGTGTTGTGAATGGTTTAATCGCCCAAACAATAGCTTTAGCTTCATCATATATTGTTCACTATTATATTATAATAGGTTTAAGTGATAAAAGCGACTTTGGTGAATCTTGAAAACTTCCTGGGTTGTGATTGAGGCTCTTCAACTTCGTTTTCATGCAGAGATATTTTCGATCTGGAATACCTCGTGATCATTGAAAGAAGGATCTCCATTGAATTATGGAGGGACGGTTCCCGTCGTAGAATTAGGCCAAGTTTGAGGTCTTAAATAAATAATAACGATTACATATAGAATCAAATATTGGAATCAGCCTACTGATTACGGTCTTGGGCCTTGCTTGAGCGTAGATTATCTCAATTTCTGTCGATTTGACGAATTAATTTTCGTTTATTTTTTTAATTCGTAGATTTTTGATGTCAAATAGTTTGTTAATTTAAGGTTGTTATTTCAATGAACTACTGCTCTGTTAGCACTTTTAAAAATTTTGGAAATATTCTTTCAAAAATAAGGACTTGATTCAACATACCAAAACGTATAGCACATCGGAATAATTAATTGTATTATCGTATTGTTTCTGGCCTAACTTTTATGACTTGTGGCTGTAATGGGTAAAATTTTAGACACTGTATTGTTTTCTACTTGAGCAAATCCTAGGTTACCAACTTAAAAATTTAAGAACTATACCATCAAATTTGTTGAAAGTTCCATTTATAATTTGTTAATAAAGTTGGATAGAGTAGTGATAACATCTCTTTTTACAGTCTATTCGGCAATCTCCCGTCCCTTTAGACCGTGTCCAGCCTGCTCGAGCAGTCTTGCTTCGGTCTCTGCAGGGCTTGCCCATGACCTTCACTTCACGGATGCACGCGAACAAAGGATCTAGCGATGAGCAAAAGTAATAAGTGCCGAATTATAGAGGTTCGATTTGCTATACCAAACAGTAGTACGTTCCAAAATGTTTGGTAAAACAATAGACCTGTTAAAAAAACTTCCATGACCAGATGACTAGCTTGTGATGAGCACAAAATGATTGTAAGTGAAATTATACTTATTAAGCCTGAGCGTGCTAAAAGTGCTGGATTGAAATCAGAAATGCCGACGTGCTGTTTCCAATGCAGAACTGGTTTTGAGTTGGTTCTTCTCGACCGAAGAGGCATGACAGTGTCATTCCGGACAGACTCCGGACTGCATCGACACGACTAGGAGCTCTAAACTGAAGAGATTAAGCTCAACTTTCGCGCTGTGTATCCGTAGCAAAGATTGATGCACGTTGCTGAACAAAAGTATATTATAACTTTTCGGGCGGAGTTTTTCATTGACGCTAAGATTTTTTTTTGTGTAACGGGGAATTTTGTTTAGTCGAACAGTGCACCAAGAAATTTAAATTCAGTATTATTCTAAAATCTAAATGATGGACCCTATACAATAAATTCGTATTAAGTTAGGTGGAAATTAAATATGAATAATTTATACACAAATGGAAAAAGTAAGATTAATTTTTATACCCTTGTGCTGCACGGCAAACGGTTGCAAAACTCGTCCCACACACGAGAGAGCCAATCTTCTGTTACTGTGCACCGTAGCAGTGATACGGTTCTTCAGACCAGCCAGAGTTGCTGGTAGAGGCGGGACGTAAACAGAGTTGCTGGTAGAGGCGGGACGTAAACAGAGTTGCTGGTTGAGGCAAACAGAGTTGCTGGTAGAGGCGGGACGTAAACAGAGTTGCTGGTAGAGGCGGGGCGTTAACAGAGTTGCTGGTAGAGGCGGGACGTAAACAGAGTTGCTGGTAGAGGCGGGACGTAAACAGAGTTGCTGGTAGAGTTGCTGGTTGAGGCGGGACGTGAACAGCTTCCTTGACGTAGCCCCACAAGAAATAGTCACGTGGGGTGAGATCAGGTGATCTCGGTGGCCAGATGTGTAGAGCCTCATCTTCATTTCTTACGCGTCCTACCCAACGTCCAGGTGGTGACTGATTCAAAAAGTTTGCTGGAATTGATAAATTGGGCCGCCTCCGTCCAATTCCGCACTTGAATGGGCTAAAAAAAATTGAATCCTTCTCTTTTCGTCGATGCACACATTATTCATTTTGAATATATTCTTAACTAAACACGAATTTATTAAATTGGATCCATCATTTATATTAACCCCATGTGTGTTTGATTTAAATTTTACACAAAAATATTCACATTATTTTAATTACAATTCTGTTTATGAATAAGGATTCAAGCTAGTTTTTATTAAATTTTTTCTAATTTTTCAGCCCAATTTAATAATTATAATTATTTCATACAGCAGGCATAGTTCCAAGTGACACCCCGAAATGAGAATCTGTGGTGAACATCGCGTCATGGTCGTACTGATGCTGCTCGCGACGCACGCTGAATCGCAAATCGATCTGCCGCAGGTATATGTCTGTGGGATGGTTGTAATTCTTCTGGAATTATACTGTAGATATTAACTAACTTTCTTTTATGTGTTTCTGACGAAGAAAATAATTGAATTGATCGACATTTGATTGATTGCATGCCATCATTTTTTTGTATTTCATTAGCAGAATTTTAACCCATCCTTGTAGAATCCACATTTAATCCGAAATGAAAGCGGATAAAGTCCCGGAACTGGCGTCAAGGATTTGACAGAGAACCAATGTAACATAATAATAATAGGACGCACATTCTCGAATCTCAAACTATGCTGCAACCGTCATTGTAAGGAAGGCGATGTACTATAGCTGCTTGCTATCAGTCTTGACTGCAAAAACTCATTGTTTCTTTTTCATAGTTTTCAATAGTAGGATAGAGACAGCACTATATACATTATTTACGACACACCCAGGCCTTGAGATCTAAAAAAATTAAGACAAAGAAAAAGAGTGAGATTTTACCTGGCTTCGGCAGAAGGCTCTAATTGTGTTGTCATATTTTTTGCCATGATATAAAACCTATTAAGTAAATTCAGAAGGTTTAACAGTCTTAACAATTTTGTTGTGCAAATGCTTCATCGACCAAGCATTAACCACATTAGGCATCACTAAAATCACAATACTTTTCTTCGGCAAACGATACAACAAAGCAGTAAGTACATTAGGTCCTGCAGCAATTTGCAATATTTCTCTTTGGCCAGTGATACAATCAATAAATAACTGCATTAAGAATTACTATTCTTACAAAATTTCTCTCTGCAAAGCACTACAACTAACCAGTAACTTCATTGGGCATAACTGCATTCACAAGATGCACCTTTATACGCCTTCAGACTTATTATATATTTCTACCTGAACCCGAGGACAGGGATTCGTTGACTACGTGCATGTGGGATAAGTAAGACGCCATATTAAGAGAGCTTATCTTAATTGATCACGGGGTGGTAATACATGAGAGTTAATTAAAAGTTATAAGGCTAAGACGTCGACCATTAGGAGGGAGCAGTTTCAAGCTTCTGGGGTCTTATTTGTCACGTGATGTTGTCCATGCTGATTCGGGTCTAGGACTGTTCCATCAATCTCCACCACGTCTAGTGACTATTACGTCTCAATTATAATGAATAATAAATAGAATCAGACGACTTATTGACACCGTTCAGTTATCGTAAACGAAGCGTGTCATCTCAGGTGCCGTGTACGACGGTGGCGGGTGAGGGCGGCGTGTGTTCGCTGCTGCTGCAGTGCACGACTTTCTTTGCCGAGTTGGCCGTACTGTCACGCTCCCCGTGCCGGCTCACCGGGCAGCAGATGGGCGTTTGCTGTCCTACCGAGAGAGCGACACCAAGAGGTGCAATACTAATTAGTTAATTTTCGTGACTTCATTTAGAGGAATTGATAACAGTGACTATTGATAACCAGGTGTATAAAAATATATGCGACAAGAAAAGTCTCGACGTATTAATTCTCAAACTATGCTAAACAAACAGTTTTGGGCCGCATAATTGACTAATTTCCCAGATAAGAAAATGAAAAACATTACGATTAAAGACGCCGTACAGGGAAAACATTTTTGATTGCATGTATTACACTTTATCAACGGATTTGAAGTACGATAACAGCGCCTCAATCAATATTACCTGCTACTTAAATCTGGAATTAATCATGAATAAAGTACATAAATAAGTCCGGGTGAATAGAGAAATTTTTTTATGTCCACTGGCATGGAGCCCACTGGCATGGACTCGTATTGGCGTAATGCTGTTGGTGAATGCTGAAGATGAATGAAGGAATGGAAGTGAAAATTAGTGATCATATATTTTCGAATTATTTTAATTCCGAATCAATTTACAGATTACTCGAAATTTATAAATTCTTGCAGATCCAAGCACGATGGTGAGACCACCGCCGCCCAAGCCTGTCCATGACCCTGGGATGTCTGCCAACGACATCAACGCCAACTGCCTGCTGGGAAAAGATAGGGAATCACTGAGACTTCAGTTTGAACAATCACTCGTTAGTTATTAATCTGCCGCTAATATACGAGACGATCAATATTGTATTTTATAAACGCGCCCATACGTAATTATAAAGCATGCTCATATATTTATAGAAGAACTGCCCATATATAGCACACATCAGTTGAAATCCCAATAAAACATCAAATAAGACCAGTCAAATGTCAAACAAAATTGTCGGTTTTACATTTGGTTGACTGTAAATGCAAAAAAATATATTCAGTGATGTTTTGACGCATAAAATTGGTCGGAATTTACTTTCCGTGTTGTGTATCCCAGGTTGCCAACAATATCGTGGCTTCGCCAGATTCGCCCGCCTACCAACACGCGCGGCTCTTCAAGTCAAACCCGGAAATTCAGCGCCGTGGACGCGCCGCGGCCCTCGTCCTCGAAGTGTCGCAGATGCTAACTAACAAGTGAGTCTCAAATAGAAATGTTTCTTCTTCATGATTGAGCCATTGAAAAAAGCTCAATCATATGATAGAGTTATAGTAAAAAAAGTATAAAATTCTAAGAGTTAAGAACGTATTCGAAAAGTTCACTAAATTTCAGTAGTAGGATTCACAAAATACGCTCTGCCAAAATGCAATATCTCAATTAATTAGAACGAATTCATGAAAATTGGATGTAATCTTGTTACTAGCAATGGAGTTGTTGTGTTTGTTCAATTACTCGCTCATTTCGTTCGCTCAATCGCTCATTATAAAAATTTTAATGTGCATCCAATATACATTCAATAAATATTGAATCTACTGTTGAATACCTGAATATTTTCCAAACGAGATTTATTTTTTATCAAGTTTAAATAGTGCTTGTAATTTTTCTAATTTATCATTCTAAGCAGTTCAATATTAGAATATTTTTCAGCATTTTCAACAGACGATCGAATTTGCTAGCGACTAATTTTTATTTTTTTGAAGGATATATCTGCGGAAGAAAGAATTTCACATGCTTCTATTTACAAAGTTCACATGTCAATTGACAATAGTCATAGGAACAGTTGCCCGATAACAATGACTAATATCTTTATCTAAAATTTTTGGTCAGTCTTCACTTTAGGGTGATTTTTCAAAGCAAAAGTTAATCAAAAATTTGTGAATAAATTATAACTACTTTTTAACAGTTCAGCTCCAGATACAACTACTGCGAACTGGCAATTTTTTTGAACCGGTAATTTCAGTTCCCATGAGCCCCCTACCCCAGTATCTCTAAATTTTCTGAACTATAAATTACTGCCTTCTATGTTTGCGAGTATTTCTTTCTTCCCTTAGTTTCTATCGTTATTTCTTGAAATTCTATGAACTTATAATCATTGTGTTCGAATTCTAACTCAGCGATCTAAGTTTGTTCGTGCATAACAGTCTGCAACTCAGCACGGACCAGGCGACATTTTCGCTGCCTCGATACCGTGTGAGCAACACGGTGCTGCGCGACGCATGCCCCCGTATGCCCTCATGCGGTGCACCGTCTAAATACAGGGCCATAGACGGCGCCTGTAACAACCTTAATAACCCTGACTGGGGACAGGCGGGAACTACTTTCCTTCGCCTCCTCCCGCCAGTTTATGCTGATGGTAGGTAAAATGATTTATTTTGTTAATGTAGAGCCTTTAGGTGGTCTCTCTTTCGGGCTTAAATATGGTTAATAGGTCATGCGATAATGGTTTGTTCTGCTATGTAGTGATAAGTTCTACTCTTCTACTCGTGTAATGATCGACATTTGGTCTACTAAAGGGACTCATGATTTCAAGCATGCAGCGTATATAACTTCACGCATTATATCTGAACATTCTTAAACCTACTTTTTAATCAGGCTTGAGTTCTGTTCGAACAAGTTTTGACGGAAGTCCACTACCGTCCGCACGGAGCCTCTCAGCGGAAGTGATATCAGAGAATAGCAACGTTTATGAAGACTACACATTACTTGTGATGCAGTGGGGGCAGTTTCTCGACCATGACATGACTCACACTCCAATCACTAAAGGTGATATTAACATAATATATATGATAATAACTCTGAAAAATAATATATTCTTAGTGTTCACAAATGAAATATGATCAATCGTGAGCATTCACTCATGTAAGATGTTCACGATTGATGGAAAAACAATCGAGGTGAGAAGAACTTTACTGGTTTAAATGTACAAAAATTGGACAATGAATACTGCACATATCTTCAACTTTATGAATATGAGCTAAATTTCTAGTGGATATAATGCCCAAAATTGAAGAGCATAATCGAGCGGCGAGAAATATATGACCTCTTTAACAGTATCTGGTAAACTAAATGGTCTAATTCGGGGCCATACTTTCAGAACTTGCTAAGTGAACGTAAGTACTTATACGCTCCATTTTCTTGTCTGTGATTGGTGGATTTTGCTTGAAAGGCCGTCAATGATTGGCTGATGAACTTACGATCTCTTTAACTTTTTTGAATGTATAGGCCCAGTAAAAGTGAGTTAAAATTTATTTCTTTTCAGGCATGGGGGACTCGGTAATTTCATGCTGCAACCATGGCAACATCAGACCACAACAAGAACTACACCCTGATTGCATGCCCATAGAAATCTCACCAACTGATAGATTTTACTCTCTATTTGGACAACGCTGCATGAATTTCGTGCGCTCAATGCCAGCTATGCCAAGAGGTTGCACCTTTGGCCCGAGGGAACAGATGAATCAAATCACTGCATTTATTGATGGAAGGTAACATTGAGGATAGTGGAACATTTTCATCATTGAAAGTATTCAGACAATGGAATGATAATATTTATTCTCAAGATCTCCAAGTTTGGCGTGGGAATGGACATGGGAGTAGTTATTGTATTCAACTCAATTCTCACTCACGACCAATCGATAGATATTTTTCAAGTCATATGTAGGAAATTTCACCCGTTAATTCTTTATTTATTTACAATTTCTACTAATATTGTCACAAAACAGTGTTTCGTAAAATGCACTAATAATTCTCTGTTTCACCAGCAACGTGTACGGCTCCACCGAGCAACAGATGCGAGCACTACGAGCTTTCAGCGGAGGCCTCCTGAAGACCGCGCAGCGAGGACGACGGCAGCTGCTGCCGCCCCAACCCGACAACGAAGAGTGCCAGAGCCCTGCTGCCGACCAGCCATGCTTTGCCGCTGGTGATGAATTGCAGGCCAAATGACAGCGCATATCAGGAAGCGAAATAAAAAGTTTGCATCACATACAACAGGCGCATATTGATTCCACCAAACCCTGTTGTGCAGCAGGAAACTAATTGTTTGTTCTGTTCATTACGGCCAGATCCCGGGGAGCCTGCTCAACATCATAATTATGGCATACTTTGATAAATATGATTCATAGAAACAAAAAATTTTAAAACTAAAATATTCCAAAATTAATTTTAGTCACAAAATCCTTGGGCAAGGAATTACTGCAGAGAGCAATGTTGATTGTTGATTATGATAATGGAAATGGTCTTTATGAGAATTACCCTTCATCACATATGTTCGGTGGATCCTTCGAGAGACAGTTATGAAATTTCCTTTCTTCTTCAGCTTCCCTCATTTGTTAAAAATTTAATTAGAACTCACGCGCGTTCTGTACATCAACATCATAAATTTTATGAAGTATATGAACTTTAATCCACGTATAGTTTATTATATTTTGTTTCTATCGAAGAGAATCCAAATTAATAACGATAATTTCCAGGCGACACGCGCGTGAACGAGCAGCCGAACCTGACTGCGATGCACACGGTGTGGATGCGACAACACAACCTCGTGGCGCAGCAGCTCGCCTCCCTCAACCCTCACTGGAGCGACGACACTTTGTTTCTTGAGGCCCGCAGGATCGTTGGGGCCATGATGCAGCACATCACTTACAACGAGTACCTGCCCATCGTTCTCGGTAGGCTGTGATGCAGCACATCACTAACAACGAGTACCTGCCCATCGTTCTCGGTAAGCCATGCGTAGCTGTTTACCTAGCTAATAATATATAGAACAGAATAGAATAGAAGTGTCGGCACTGAAGAAATAGGCTCATGGCCTGTTGCCGATTCTTGAATTTTTCGTGACTTGATTCGCAAGGGAGACGGCTTTTGGAACCCGATCTTTCCATAACTGACGATTGATTGAGATAGCTGCTGGACTTATTGCCTGGTCCGTAATTTGCTAGGCATTTTAAGACTCTTGCTCTTGCATAGCTTCGTCTAGTCTGTTCTTGAAGGCGTTCATACTCGTAGCGTCAACGATGCTATCAGGGAGGCTGTTCCACATGTCGATGACTCTAAGCAAGAAGAAATGTTGTCGCATGGATGTGTAACAACGCTGTTTTTTTTAGTTTATAGCCGTGGCCCTGGTGTTGCTTCTTGTTTCAAATTCTAGTAATCCTTCTGGGACCTTGTATAAGCCATGAGTATACTTGTATACTTCAATGAGTTCCCCACGCAGACGTCGATACCTGAGGCTTGGAAGCTTCATAATCTTTAATCTTTCCTCATAGGACTTGCCTTTCAGGCCCGTCCTATGCTAAATTACAATAAATTAGGCAACATTCAGTTCGCTTTTTATCGCATCTCGTAAAACTTAAAACCAGTACTAGTTAGACTTGAGTGTTTTTTTTCAGTATTTATTCACGGCAATTTGTTATTTTCAAATAGACCAACAATTGATGTAAGACTATTAGGTTCTCGTATTTAAATTCGAGTTTTTGCTGCTCAACCATCTTCGGATGAGGTGATCGTGATTTAATGTTATGTTTTATGGTTCTAACTTATTTATATAACTACCTTTGGTTGATTAGATTTCATATGCGGAACTGAAAAAAATGTTTAGAATTTTCATTAAATAATATGAAATACCCCAATAAATTCAGAATGATTGACTGTAGGTCGCCACTTCGTCGAAACGTTCAACTTGGTGCCGCTGAAGGAAGGCTATGCCAACACATATGAGCCAAATGTCGACCCAAGCATCAGCAACGCTTTTGCAGCAGCGGCTTTTCGCTACGGGCACACGCTTATTGACAGCAACGTACAGTGAGTCTCATAGAGCTGTTCTTGTATCTCTAGGAAGACTTATGGTTTATTCCATTAAAAATTATAATTTTATTGTCACTCGCCGTGGGGAATTAACTGAATCAATTCTACTGATGGCTAAACCAGTGAAACTTAGTGGTTAATTCAATTGCAGAGGATACTCAAGATTCGGTACACAGGAAATTGGTCAAAAGCTTCGTCGACTCCAATTCTCTCCATTCTTCTTGTACAATGAAGGTGCCCATGATGCTCTAATCCGTGGCCTTGCCATACAGCCCAGCCAAAAGTTCGACAACTTTTTCAGCGAAGAAGTAAGTAAACTATCTTCCAAAAGATTACATTTTACTGAAACGACCCTCTAGTATATTTAGGCGCAAAACAAGCAAACATTTTGATAGCACTTTTACTTTCATAGTAAATTTCCTATTTTTGCTATCAATGTACATATATTTATTCCAGTTTAACCACTTGTACGCCTATCAAGTTTTTGGGCTAATTGAAATTGCATGTGGTTCGTTTATTCGAATCTTTCATTCAGTTAACGAACCACTTGTTCGCTCGCAACAACTCGTTCGGCATGGACCTCGTAGCGCTGAACCTGCAGCGCGGCCGCGACCACGGCCTCCCGCCCTACGCCCAGTGGCGGGAGTTCTGCAACCTTCCTCCCATACGCGACTTTGCTCAACTCGCCGATGTTATGCCTCCTGATGTACGTTATTCGTCATCGAATATGATTAATTTTTGCATTGTGTTTCATTACGAACTTCTCATTTCACTGGCGCAAAACATCGGAATAGTTTGATAATCATTACTACGAAACACAGACGTACTTCCTTTTTCTAACGAAGTTTGAAAATGAGTCGTCAAAATAATATCTGACTTCTCATCATTTTCAATTTTAAACTTCTCTGCTGTTAGCTTTTAGATTTAGTAAGAAAGATTCTAACGTTCGTACTCTCCCAGCGCAGTAAAAGAACGGTTATTCTGCATTGACTTGAAGCATTTGCTCTTCGTTCAGGCGAGCCGTTACCTCTCGCTGCTGTACCGAGACGTGGGTGACATCGACCTCTTCCTCGGGGGCATCTTGGAGTTCCCTGTGGCCGGAGCGCTGGTAGGCCACACCTTCCTCTGCATTCTGGGGGATCAGTTCTACAGAATCAAGGTATATCTTATAGCTTAAGTAGTTTTATGCAGTACTTATAAATTCTCTGTCTCTCTGTTGTAGTTTTTGATTCGTTGCGGTACACGTTATTGTGGAATTTAAAATGTAGAAGACAAAAAGTATTGTCATTACTAACGCGGTCAAAAATATACAAAGATCGCATTTGGATCTGAGTAACGTAAATTGAAAGAAAAAATTAATTCATCACTACCCTGTTTTGTCGAAAACACTCCAGGGAAAAGATTTTCCTATTTTTCTATAAACTTATAAAATATTTATTTATGCAGGCTGGAGATCGGTATTTTTACGAGAATGGCGGGACGCACATGGCGTTTAGTCCAGCGCAACTACGCGAGATTCGTAAGCTGAGTCTCGCCCGCGTTCTGTGTGACACCTCAGACAATATTGCAGTAATGCAGCCCCTGGCCTTCCTTCACGCCAAATTCACGTGAGTCCCTCAAAATGAAGAATGATAACATAAAAGTTTAATTTATAAAAAATTTCTCAATAATGCATAAAACATATATCATACCTTGGGACAGTCATCCGTAGAAGGGAATTCCTGGCGTTCGCACATAGTAAATTGTAGTTACATCTCGTTTTTAATATAAAACTTGACTAATAAACAATAGATTATTACGTTTATCAGACACCTGAGCAGCTTTTTATCTGTTCAAATATGTCCACCAGCTCCTTGTAATTACTCCCATTTCTTACATATGAACTACTTAAATTTCTTACACATGAACTAAAACATCCTACAATGTGCACGAATTTTTTTTATTGATCGAAATGCTGGAGATTTGCACCCACAAATTGCCTCATTGTTTGGAAAAAAAACTTGCGATATCCCAGCATTTCCTCACGTTGCCGCCAGAACAAAATACAAAAGAAATAAGGAAGTGGGCTTCGAAAATTTCTGTGAATGAGACAGGATTCCGGAAACAGATCTTTGTTTAAAGCTAATTTTCTCATTTTATAACATAACATAGCGATGTCGGCGCTGAAGAGTAGGCCTGATGTGGCCTGTCGCCGATTCTTACTTTTTTTCGTGACTTATTCACAGAAGATATAAACTCGTGTCTTTTGACCGGTCTTCTCAGGGCTGACGATAGGTTGAAATAGCTACTAGACTTGCACCGGGTTCGATATGGTGCTAGGCATTTAAAGTCTGAACATATTTTTTCCATAGCTTTATCTAGTCTATTCCTTTATTTCTGTAAGCTACTTACCATCAAGATCAATGAATATTTATTTATTTTATTTATTTTTTGATTCGATAAATAATTGATCAAATCAATGAACATTTTAGATAAATTCATAAATATTCACTATTTCTATAACCATATTTGTTAGCCCAAATTTCTTAATATACAATTCGCTGAATTTAAATTTATAACATTTTTAATACTTGGTAATATTTCATTCTAGAAACAAGAGATCGCCGTGTGAAGGAAACGAAATACCCAAGATGAATCTGCAAGAATGGAAGGAATGAAAGTACAATGGGTTCTCAATTTTTGGATTTGTAGTTTATTGCCACAATTTCACGGAGGATATCAAAATGCTCACCCTAAATATGAATGCTGGGTTTATATTTATCAGGTAGAATTGTGGCTACATTAGCTAATGAGTTTTGTGAAAAAAACAATCTACATTGGAATAACAAAATACGGCAATGTGTGTTTTCAATTCTGTATTGCACTGTTTGCTGATACGTCATAAAACGTGAGTTAAATAAAAGCAATTAATAGCATTGTTGTTAAATGAATTGTTATTTGATTACATAAGATTCCTTAACTTAAATTATTTAATACGGACATTTTTCCTGGATGTTAAATTTTGATGTTGACTAATATATAAATATAATAGTTTGAATGAAATCCCGGTTTAAAGGTGAACTGCTACGTATTTTGGCCCGTTCTAAGGCTATTATTGTACATGAATGATAATCATCTAATGTCCATTTGCTTATTTTTAGAGAGGGCAAATTAATAATAATTTATATGTATAAATGAAGGATCTGAATAAAGAACTACAATGATTATCAATACCGTTTGTTCTATGAACATTGTTGTGGCTTCTGTCGTCTGTAGCGAAAGGGAGATATATACTTCATGATAATAACTCGCTTGCAGGATTCCTTCTTGAAAAGTATTATTTTCCTCGAGAGCTCCAGTGATGAATATACTTCAAAACAAAATTTCAAATATAGTTCTAGGCTTCTAGCTAGCTTATTGGTGTTTGAAAACATAGTACGAATACAGGGTTCAAGAATTGTTCACTATCGCACGAATGTCCAAAGAAAACATCTATATGTAACCTTCAGCATAACTGAATGTAATGATATGCATTATTTCATGTTTGACATTAAACTTTTATCATCTCCCTTATTGCTCTCTCTTCAAGCCAAAATTATTGTATAAAAGCTCATGCCAATAGAATGCATAAACTTGAAGAAATTTCATCAGCATGGAGTTAGCCTCATATCTAGTGATTAATTTTTGATGTGAATCAAAATAATTCGGAGGATAAGAATCATAATAATTCGGAGAATCCTTTATACGAGCTTATTAACGAATCGGTTACGTTCATGGAGGAGAAATTATTGTGAGCTGAAGTTAAATGGATGAGAAAGACTTATGTTTGATCCGGGAATCACTTGTGGTGCTAACGTCACAGATTCAATGCTTTTAGGAACGGTGCAGCTGACTTGCAAAGGCAATGTGATGTGCTCCGAAGTGAATCCTTAATAGCGTCTGCATGGCGTGGGAATAAGTCATGTGTAATGTAGGACAAATAATGTGATATATGAGTAATTCATGTTCAATTGAGGCTAACTGGTGTAAAAACTGGTGTGAAAATGAGGATAAACCTTCTAGCATTGAGTATAAGTTCCCAAGGAAAAGGGATAAGGCATGCGTGAATTAAGATAATAATTTTGCAACAATAAGGATAAGTAGTGCTGAAACGAGGAAAAGTCGTGTAAAAATAGGGATAAGTCGTGCAAAAATAAATATCGTCCGTGTTAGGATAATTATAATAGTATAATAATTAGTATTAATTGCGTAAAATGAGAATAAATAAGAAATTAGAAGATATAGTTAGAAAGTTCTATAGATATAGAACTTTAGTTATTACTTCAAAAGGAACAATATCAGTTGCAGTTGATGAGGCAGGGACATGAAACTATAAGCTATTCATTTCTTGATCACCTACGGAGACCAAACCTAAAAGAAGGATTTTCTCCGAATAAATTTAATTTCAGCTTAAATGCTGATCCAAAACTAATTGAAGATTATCGAGAATGGATCAGCATTTTGGCCCCTATCCCATCGTCTGCTGAGACTGTCGTGAAGTTCTTCAGTCGATCTGTTCCAGCAGCCGACGCAAGGGGTAGCGTTCCCTCTGACGATCGCCGGACGTAAGACGTCGGTGCTGCTGAGATGATTTCTTTCCCTTTTACCGCTGGCAAAAAAGGAGCTACCATCGCCGTATGACCAGAAAGTTGTCGGATTTCTGCTCAAGATGTTTTCTGCGTCGTTCATTTTCCCGACTGTGTTCATATCTTGAGCTTCCTGGCCGATTGTAAGGAAATGAGAGAATAATTTATATGATACGTTTTAGATAATCAACGGTCGTTATTGGTAGCTCAACTTGAAAAGAAAAAATATTAAGTGATGTTTTTATAATATTTTAATTTCATGATTATCATGATTCCATGATCATGAAATCATGATCATGATTTCATGATTCGTCAATGAAGACGAAATTATTCCTGTTTAATACTAACAATCACTGCTCTATCATATAGAGCATTATAAATGTTTCATACTTCGTTTGGTGATGTGAACACGAGTTTGCTGCAATTTAAAATAAATTGAATGAATTATGTAAATTAGGCTTCATTGAAAGCAGACTCTCGAAATACAAACTAGGAAATTTAGAACGATATTTATTATGCGACTAGTACGTCCTTATAATGAGAACACCTGCTCAACACCTGCTGAGGTTGATGTTCAAATATTATTTGAAGAAGGCTGTAAAACAAACAAGTAAATTTATCACTATTTTCTCGTGTTTAAATGGAAGAAATTAATATTCGTGTTAATGTCTGATTTCGGAACTATTGGTATAATTGCTTGATTACTAGTGCTCTGGCAAGGGAACAAAGAACGCTTACCTGACATGAGTAACTGGAGCAAAGTTAATTGTCACAAGCCTACTCTCAAAAAGGATACGTTCTAGTGAGCGCAAAATGACTTGCACTGATGGTTGCCGCCACGCACGACAACTTCAAAATGTTCTCTGTTGCGTACTAAAGTCCTCAGGTTCCTACCCTCAATAGTTTACGTATAATTTAAGTTGATAGTTATGTTCCTGGTGAGTGACATACGGCGGTAGAGGTTTAGGGTAACATGGGGCAGCGAGCCCACTGCGGGTCATGGGCCCATTATATATAGCGGGTTTCTCGCTAAGTATGGCAGATATTGGTCCGTGTTCTCTACCGCCGGTCGACAGTTTCACTGGAATGAAGTGTACGGATTTACGTTTTGCTAAGTGTTGGCGATATTAAGTTATTTGTGAATAACCGCTTTAGCCCAGATAAATTTTTTTTGCTGCTAAATAAAACTGTTTTCGATTACTGTAGATGAAGCTTTTGAAATTACTGTGAATTATATTTTGAAAATAATATTTATAGGGATAATTTTGAGATAAAGTTTAGACTATTAGCTTTCAAAATAAAATGTTGACACGATATAAATTGAAATGATATTAGTGGGGCAACGGGCCCACGCGTGTCACAAATTACACTTTTTGAATTACAAATTACACTTCATATTGCATGATTTTTTTTATTTGCCGCCTCAAGGCAGCAGGTTTGGTTTCTAGTTATGCGTATTTATGACCTTTTATCGAGTTATTGACTCTTGCCTTGGCAAAAGTTGATTTCAGTCAACACCAATGAGCCAAAAGTTGAGTTTTTTATGGTGTTGGCTGAAATCACGATTAGGTACGAATTCTCTGCACATAATATCTGGATTATGGACGAAATTGGAACGGAGTTTTTTTTCTGATCAACTAAATATATTTTTTCTAGTCAAGGATACATTTTTTTCATGTCAAGGACGAATTTTTTATCGCAAGGATATATTTTTTAAGTCAAGGATATATATTTTATGTCAACGAAATATTTTTCTTCACGTCAGTGATAGATTTTTTAAGCCAGGAGTATATTTTTTCAATTTAAGGATATGATTTTTTGAGTTGTTAATAAATGAATGAATGTCATATATTTTATTACATTTTTCTCATTTTTAACTGTAAAGTGTTGTTTTATCAGTTTTAAACGAAAAATATGCCGTTGTGGTAAAGGGACCAAGGGTGAGGGACCATGGGCCCATTGCCCCAGGGGTGGGGCAATAGGCCCATTTGGACACTTTTTACAGAATAGTGTTTCATTATAAATTGAATAACTCTATAGGCGTCTAATTAACATCATACATTCCTCATTAGTTGTTCCTTTAAACAAAACAAAGAACCACCTCGTATCAATTAAAACTTCATAAAAAAATTAGTTTAAAAAGGGGGGGGGGGGCGCGCAGCCCCATGTTGCCCTAATAATCATCGAGCAGAATTTTCCTGTTGCTGAGTTGGTTGATAGATTAATATATATTGATGATTCATTTTCAATGGAATGTACACTCTTATTATTTAACTACGAGAGTCGGCTTTCATACTTCCGCGATCATAATGAAACTGAGTAGATTACCACGTACCACATCTAAGAGTGAAATAAAAAATTATTCATGTAATTAAATCATATTTTTAGGTTATACAGTGCGACAGCGTTCGTGAATCGGAAGCTTATCAATTGAACAATGCGAACTAAAAATATTTTACTGCATTCGAAAAGAACTCTTCAAATAATTGATACATGTGCATAATTTTCAGTTGCAAATCAAGATGGAATTACAGATACAACGCTTATGTTAAATTAAATTTACTATAATTGATAACATTGTTCATATATCTGTTCACGAATACAGCCGATTTTTGCAAAAATGGCACTGGAATTCAAGGTGGGGAATAGTGAAAATAGCGTAACGGAATAAATGGGCAGAACCATCCAGGGTTTAGCTCCGTTGTCGGGACAGATAACTTCGTGAAGCTTAGCTTCACAATTATGTTCAAAGAAAATTTTTCTTGTGTTGAAATTGTGTTATCGTTCTGTTTAGATCCAGCTTCAAGCTTAAACAACTGGTTAATTCTAGGAATTAATAACATGCAATTATAAGGCTATTTCAGACAACAGCTTCGTGCTAAGCGTTTCTAACCGGCATGACATAGTCATTTTCGACAAAAAGTCAATTCTAACCATTACTAACATGCATAACAGTGGAGTTTTCAACAACTGGTTAATTCTTGTCATTATTAACCTCCCTAACAATGCTATTTTGGACGCCAGGTTAAAGCTTAGTATTACTCACCTGCCTAATTCTGCCGGAAGGGTTGGACGCCAGGTTAAAGCTTAGTATTACTCACCTGCCTAATTCTGCACTCTGTTTAGGTTAGATTCTTTCTGTTTAGATCCAGCTTCAACAACAGGTTAATTCTAGGCATTAATAGCATGCCGTATAATGCCATTTTCGACTACAGGTTTGTCTTAAGCAATTCTAACCTGTCTAGTAATGCCGATTTCGGCAACTGGTCAATTCAAAGCGTCACTAACCTGCACAACAAAGTCATTTTCTACAACAGTTCAATTCTAACCACTACTAACTTGCATAACAATGGCGTTTTCTGCAACAGGTTAATGCTAATCATTACTCACCTGCCTAATTCTGCCGGAAGGGTTGGACGCCAGGTTAAAGCTTAGTATTACTCACCTGCCTAATTCTGCCGGAAGGGAGCTCCAGTTCACCCGCATCACTCCTCCAGATGTCGTGGTGCTGGAGACGCTGCGGCTGCTGCTCCTGGAACTCCTTGTCCAGCTGCAGCCTGATGGCCGCCGCCCACTGCTGCTGCAGCTGCTGCAGTCGCGCCTCATCGCCTTCTGAACTTCCTTATGAGGGGGTTTTCTTAGTTAATAGTCTTTAATAAATAAAGGATAGGATCTAAATCTTACGATTTTTAATAAATTAGTATATTCTTGTATGTTTATTCTGTTAATTTTGTATACTGATTTATATTTTATAGATTAGTATATATTTGTATGTTTTCCTACGATATTTCTACGAGGATTTATTTCTAGTCTTTTGTGTTGTTTGACTATTTGAACAGCTGATGGTAGCGCAAAAGTATTTCGTCTTAGTTTTTATTGTGGGCTCACTCCGAATGCCAACTAGGCCCAGGCATCAACGCTCGTGATCGTCTTTCAAACCCAATCCTTATATTCGTTCATCATTAGAAAGCCAAATTCCACTGAAGTTAACATTTAATGCTCCGGGTTTCAAGCTCTAAACTTTTCTGGAAATACATATAAAAAACTAATCAATAGAAAACCAAAGATAATCTCATTGAGTTACTAACAGTTATAAAATATGGACAACGAATTCATATTTAAACGTATTCGAATTAAGTCTATTCTCAATAGCATACACGAAACGTTCATACATTAACAGTCTACACCAATAACACAGGACACAAACTATCGTCACGACTCTGCACCTGATAAGAATTAACCTATAGCGTTCCAATCGTCAGGACGGTGAGCGATCAAACAATTTTCTAAAAACTTGAAATTCGAAAATTGAATCTCTTTGTTTAAAATTCTTCCATCTTAAATATTCTGACTTCATTCGTCACCTGATGGTAACAATTGCCCTAACAATAATTACTTTTATCCTAATTGGGATTGTTTTTCTTCTGTTGCTATTGAGAATTAATACGATATTGGTGATTATTTCAAAGGTTGGACTTCAGAGGCACTTAGTGCTGAATAACTGCCTTGATTATCGCAAATTTCAAATGTCAATGGAGAATTTTCTTGCCAATACAGTCTAGAGAACCAGAAAAAATGTTATAAGGATGATGGTACTCTTACTCGTCATTTCATTCTGACTTAATTAAAGTATAGACTAAAAAGTGGATGCGTATAACCTATATCTCCGTACAGAGATACTTGCGAAGAGTGGAGACATGTGTTTAGTCCAATAAATACAAATAAAAATTAATACTAACACTTGGTGGAAAACCTCAATAAAGAGGGATCCACGTTAAGTTCTCCATAACATATTTACTTACTATCATCACACATTTTCTATTTCATAGCCTTTAGCATGACGATGAGAGTGGGATTCATGCAGAAGTCTTGCAGAATTTCCCATGTGACTGTGTTGCAAGCGCGAAGCTTGGTGGTGTGGGTGGCAGCGTTGCCATGGTAACGCCTGGGCTGCTTGATTTTTCCGAGCAATGAGGCGAGTTCGCTGAAGTGTCGATTCGGTAGCAATGAAACGGTTTAAAAAACGTGGGTGGCTTGAAACGAAAATATCGAAGTAAGCCTATCCCACGTGTGGAGAGGGACAAACTGTGGAGATATAGAAGAGAGCATTCTGAAACTTCTCGAATAAAATTAAGTGTGCAGTCAATTAGTTCACTGAAACGAGCAAATGTATTTTCAACACTGACGCTCGGGGTAAAATCCTTTTACCCACACTCGATACTAAAATAATATATCTATATTATTCGGAAATATATTCTTCGATCAATAAAATCATCGTGAAAATTGAAATCCAATGGTAAAATGTGCACCTGATAATGAATATTTTCATTTTCAAACACGCATTGTCAAGCAAATGCAACACCACGAGCATTTGCAACTTCTGTTTATTGATCGCACACGTAAAATTGTCGAGTGTCAGAATCCATCACAGGCCAGAAGCCGAAACAAAATTTCTTAAATCCTTCATTTCATTCATTTTATTGTTCTTTCAGACGCTTAACATATCATCACACGAACCAAATTTCGTATAAGTCTCATAAATTTATTGATGATAAATCGTAGTTATTTATCTCGAGAACTTCATTTTGAGTATAATGTAAAATTTAATTCATAATTAACAGTGTAATAAGTGTATTTATCTCCTATTCAATTGTTGCTTCAGTTTAGCAGTAAGCCATCTGCCGTTTTCTTCATTCATATCCTGTTAGAAAATAGTTCCAGGAATAACTGTGGTAGTCATCTAGCAGGGTGCAACCAGGTCCAGCTTTAGTAGCGATTCGGAGAATATGCAGTCTGATGAAATAACATAATTAAATTTTTAATACATAATTTAAAAAGATTCCATCTTCACTGCCACCAGAAAAATGCAAATGTGTCCGATTTAAGTTTCCAGGAGCAAAAATCAATAGATTCCAGTAGAAAAATCGACATTTCCAGTGTAAGTGTCGGTCTCCACTCTCCACTACTCACGTGCACATGTAACTGAATGAACCAAACAAACTATTTTGTTACTTAGAGATGAATCTGTCTCTTCATGCATATTTTTTTTGTAGACACTCACCAAATTTAATTTAGTTGACGACATTGCTGTTTGTCAAATCATTCATGAGTCACCGAACATTAAACAGTCACGTATAATAAAGAAATAGTGATAGTTCTCTACTGTTAATTAAGGTAGTGAGCAGTGCACATCAATTAAATTATGCTGGGTGAAAATCAGAGCGCATTTGCACTCTGTCATGTTAAAGGGCAAAATTACCAAAACGAATCAAATCTCTATGACTCAGTTTAGAGTGTCACGCAATATCCTCATGCAACGATGGAAAGAAGCTGAGTGCAGGCAAGATAATTTGCTTCTCAACATGGCACATATTTTTATTGGTTCTACGCTAATATTTTGTTTTAGTTGCTCTCACTTCAAATGAAATGAAAAACAACTACATCACAGCTGTCCTATATCAGCTTCGAAATTCATACAACTAAAAAAATTGAAGGTAAATTTGTGGAATGTCATGAGAGGCTAATGAAACGCCTGCAAAGGAATTATATTTGTATCAAGTGTGATGAAAAATATATAGTTAGTCTATTGTAAATACATGTTAAATATATAATTATTTAATACATCAAAAATTATTACTGACGTAATAGTTCTTGTCCCATCTTCATGGGACATAATGCAAGTCATTTAGCAATTCGAACATCGTCGACTTATATATAAATGTGACTATTGTGACCTGAAACCACTCCTGAAAACTTTAATCGGACAAAATAGCATTTTTCTGGTAGCAGTGAAGATGGAATCTTTTTAAAGTAGACATTAAAAATTTAATTATGTTTTTGCATCAGACTGCATATTCTCCGAATCGCTACGAAAGCTGGACCTGGTTGCACTCTGCTAGATGACTACTATAGTTATTCCTGGAAATATAATATTGTTATAAATGTGACGTCGATATATGTGACTATTGTGACCACGATGCCTGCGTAGGCTTCAAGAACATGTGCACCAACACACAACGTTGCATTCTATAACATTATCATATATATTAATGGTCGATTTGCGACCCGTCAGATTATAACACTTCAACAACCAATTAACAAAATCAAGCTTTTAAAGTTATTTTCTCAACGAAAAAATATATATTATGATAATAATTCTGAAATTGGAGGACTAATGCATCTCGAATGTTTCCTGGAATACAGGATTAACCTAATTAATTGATCCGTTTCAACATAATTTATCTAACTACAAGCTACTGCCGACGACGTCTCGTCACTTCATGTTCGTCTGCGAGCGTGAATATGCGTAAGGAAGTGAACTCTAACACTGTTGTTGCGAAAGATGTCAGTCAAAATTTAGCTGTAATGACACTTTAGACGCCAAGTGATCAATAATTCGATGAAAAACATCATATCGTACGACAACATTGATTAGTAATGATTTTTTATAGGAATTGCATTTAAAATATGTTTTGGTCATGATCGAGTCTTGAATACATTTGTGAATAAACGTACAGTTTAAGGTTATATACAAATTTTTTTACTAATGTATTGTGTAGAGAATGGGAGATATTTGATGGACGTAGAGCATATTTTTGCGTCTTTAAGTAAAGATGGTTTCCGTGATGTATTTGTGAAATACAACAATAAAAAAAATATTGAATTAGAACTTACAGTATTTTTCCTTTTGAGTCGAAAACAAAAGCTCCCTCATATCCGTCCCCTAAATCTCTGTTAGCAGAGTAACAATTAGCAAGAACTTCAGTTACTGATATACAAGAATATCCTGCCAAAAAGATATAGGTACACTTCAACCTCGCTGAGGAGAGCCATTCACTGCTGACTTTCTAATTGGCAGTTAATCGTAGAAAGTTAATTAGAAGGCTGTTGTCTTGGGAACCTTGCTCCTCCCCCTGCCCAGTGTCACTATGAAGCGATATGAATCAAGCGCGGCCTACAGTCAACCCCGGGTGCGGACTAAAATAATTGCCTGTCAGTGTGTTCAGAATAATATAATTGGGGGCGATGTGATAAGAATAATATTAATTGAATAATGAATAATATAATTGGCGGGCGATGTGTTCAGGATAATATAATTGGCGGGCGATGTGATAAGAATAATATAATTGGCGGGCGAGGTGATGAGAATAATATTATTGGCGGGCGAGGTGATAAGAATAACAGGATTGTTGGGCGAGGTGATTTTTGAATCATCAGAGCAAGGAACTCTTAGATGGATGGAAATAATTTTTCAATTAGCAAATCACATATTTGTCAGCTGAGAGTTCTGGTGTGAAAATTTATTAATTCATTATTTAAGAATTCGAAAATAATATCTATCAATTCTCTGACATCGACACTACTTAAGTAAACATTTTCATTCACTGGACTTAACTTCCACTTGATTGCGGGAAAATTTATTCATTTATAATATCAAGAGCATTTCCCGATGAAAATCCCTTTATTTGGGAGAACCATAAAACGATTTCCATTGTATGTGTTCTTCACTCACTTCCGGCTAAACGTTTGCTGGAAGAAAAAAAATTTCCTCTTCGACTCCGCCTAAATTAAGTTCCAAATAACACCTGAAAATGCGAATCGAATAATCCTGCGATGGGATGGTCTCATTTCCTTCAAATGTATACGACAGTCGCATTCTTTTGCTAGATGATCGGCCTAGAGCAAAAAAATTAAGCGCAAGTTCAAAAGGCGAAAAATAAAGCGCAAGTTTCATCGAAACAAACTGAGCGAAACGCTGGGCGCAATTTTTTCATTTAAGTGTGTCAGGAGTTGATGACGTGAGCTTTAATCAGCTTTCCGGCCCATTATCCTCTGTCACCTCAGTTCCTGGCCGCCCGAAGTCTGCAGGGATTTAAAGTTTCCGATGCGAATGAAGCACCGAAGATTTTCTGGGACGAATCGAACTGTATGAATATACAAATTGTGTAAAATAAACTGTAAAGTAAAAAATTCGCACCCTCAGGTTTTAAAATGCCGACCATTCGAGGGTAATCACGGAAAAACTTTACTTAATTAAAGACGCAAAACTATGCTCTACGACCATCAAATATCTTCCATTCTCTACACAACACATTAGTAAAAAAATTAATTCAATTTCATAAACAATTGAATTAATTCTAATTCATATCCATAAAATAATTCATATCCATAAGAAAAAAAAAATTTCATTAATTTTCTTTCAAACAACTTTATCAAATATTTATTGCGTGCAGCTGGACATATTAGATTTGATTTACGGATCGCTCGACCGCAGCTATTAAGGGCTTGCAATAAAAAACACATTCAAGATTTACTTGAGGGTGCGGTTTTTCTCAAAATTATGCGCAGAGATTCGTTCAAGAGAAAATTCTTCTTAATAGAGTACATTTTATTCTCTTCAAACGCTGGGCGCAATTTTTTCATTTATGTGTGTCAGGAGTTGATGACGTGAGCTTTAATCAGCTTTCCGGCCCATTATCCTCTGTCACCTCAGTTTTTGGCCGCCCGAAGTCTGCAGGGATTTAAAGTTTCCGATGCGAATGAAGCACCGAATATTTTCTGGGACGAATCGAACTGTATGAATATACAAATTGTGTAAAATAAACTGTAAAGTAAAAAATTCGCACCCACAGGTTTTAAAATGCCGATCATTCGAGGTAAATCACGGAAAAACTTTACTTAATTAAAGACGCAAAAATATGCTTTACGACCATCAAATATCTTCCATTCTCTACACAACACATTATAGTAAAAAAATTAATATATACTACGTATCCGCAAGTTGAATAATAAAAAAACGAAATAGACTTATAGATACGAAAAGATATGTACGTTAATGAGGCAGATCATCGTTTGCGATAGTTAATC